TGGTAATCAACCCGCTATCAAGTTTCTCTTTGATGAAATGGCGGTCAACCTCAATATGTTTAGTCCGATCATGTTGAACTGGATTATGAGCTATACAAATAGCGGACTTATTATCACATAGCAGCTTCATAGGTCCCTCACATTTTATTTTGAGATCATCAAGAACAATTTTCAGCCACAGTAACTCACAAATGCCTTGAGCCATAGCTCGAAATTCAGCTTCTGCACTTGATCTGGCAACCACATCTTGTTTCTTACTTCTCCATGTCACCAAGTTACCGCAAAGAAACATGCAATAACCAGTGGTAGAACGACGGTCAGTCACGGATCCAGCATAATCAGCATCTGTGTAGACTTCTAAAGATAGATTGCCATCACGTCGGAATAACAATCCTTTACCAGGAGTACCTTTAAGATACTGAAGAATTCTCTCTACTGCCTGCATGTGTTTTTCTTTTGGATCGTGCATAAACTGACTGACAACACTAACAGCATAAGCTAGGTCTGGTCTAGTATGGGCCAGATATATCAATTTCCCAACTAGCCGTTGATATTGTCCTTTATCAACTGGAGGACTCTCTTCTTCATAGCCCATCTTGTGATTCTGCTCAATAGGAGTATTAGAGGGTTTACACCCGAGCTTTCCTGCTTCTTTGAGAAGATCAAGAACATATTTCCTCTGGCTGATAAAAATTCCTTTGCTTGAATGAGCTACTTCTATCCCTAAGAAATATCTCAGTTTCCCAAGGTCTTTGATTTCAAACTCAGAGGCAAGCCGTGTTTGCAGAATCTGTCTCTCCACAAAATCATCACCTGTGATAATAATATCATCAACATATACAAGGAGCACAGTAAGCTTCCCATTTTGGGAGTGCTTGAAGAAAAGAGTGTGATCTCCTTGGCTCTGTCTGTATCCTAAGGTCATCATAACCTTAGTAAATCTTCCAAACCAAGCACGAGGTGACTGCTTCAATCCATACAAGGCCTTTTTTAATCTATAAACTTTATTTTCCCCCTTCACAGAATCAAAACCAGGCGGGATTTCCATGTAGACTTCTTCTTCTAACTCACCATTGAGGAAAGCATTTTTCACATCAAATTTATTTATATCCCAATTGTAATGGGCAGCAAGGGATAACAAGATTCTCACTGTATTCATCTTTGCAACTGGAGCAAAGGTTTCTTCATAATCAATGCCATAGGTTTGAGTGTAACCTTTGGCCACTAATCGAGCCTTATATCTCTCAAGAGTGCCATCAGAATTATATTTCAGGGTATAAACCCATCTGCACCCTATTGCTTTCTTTCCGTTGGGTCTATCAATAACCTCCTATGTTTTATTTTTCTCCAAAGCATTCATCTCCTCTTGCATGGCTTGAGCCCAATTCCTATCTTTCAAGGCTTCATGTACTGATTTTGGGATTGCAATAGAATCTAGTGCTGAAACAAAGCTTTTGTGCTGCACAGAAAGATTAGCAGAGGAAACAAAGTGGGAGATAGGGTATTGAGTACAAGAGGGACAGGAGGAACAAGTTTTCTTGTGACAAGATCTTTTTCCTTTTCTAAGAGCAATAGGTAAGTCATCAGAAATAGAAGCAATGGGTAAGTCATTAGAGATATCAGAAGAAATAGACAAATCATGAGAGGAAATAATATTAGAATCAGAAACAGGAGATTCAGAAGAAATAGGAGATTCAGGACTTACCAGTGGTTCAGACGATTGAGGTTGCTGGTGAGACAGTATGGGTTGTATCTCAGGTGTATTTGAAGGTTCTGACACACCAGGAGCAGACACACTAGGAAGAGAGAAGATTGATCCAGACTCAAAGAAGGAAGGGGACGAGTCTTCTGAAGAACTATTCTCCCCCTGACGATGAGGACCCAGGAAATAAGATTTAGATTCTTGAAAGGTGACATCCATAGAAACAAAAAATTTCCGACTTGGTGGATGATAACACTTGTACCCTTTTTTATAAGGGTTATAACCAAGGAAGACACACTTAAGAGCCCTAGGATCCAACTTACTCCGATGTTGTTTATGAACATGGACAAAGGCAACACATCCAAACACTCTTGGTGGAAGGCTCTGCAATATGGGAACAGAAGGAAAGAAGGAAGTCATGGAATGAATAAGACTGATATTGTTAAGGACCCGTGAAGGTAAACGGTTGATCAAAAAAGTTGCAGCTAATACTGCTTCTCCCCAATAAGAACTAGGAACAGATGTCTGAAAAAGTAGTGCTCTAGCAACTTCAAGAAGGTGACGATTTTTCCTTTCAGCAACCCCGTTTTGTTGAGGGGTATCAACACATGTGAGCTCATGAATCATACCTCTGTCTGAAATGAATTGTGACAGGCGTTGATTGACGTACTCAGTACCATTATCAGATCTGAGTCTTTTAATACCCTTACCAAACTGAGTCTCAACCATGTGATGAAACCGAATAAATATCTCTGGTACTTCAGACTTGTCTTTCATCAAGTATATCCATGTTATCCGAGTACAATCGTCAATAAAAGAAACAAACCACCTAGCACCTGAAACACTGTGCACTTTAGAAGGGCCCCAAACATCAGAATGGATAAGAGAAAAAGGTTCTCTGCTTTTAATAGTGCTAGAAGGAAATGACACTCGATGGTGTTTTGCAAATTCACAAACATCACAATGAAAGGTCTCAACCGACTTATTGAGAAACAGAGAGGGGAACATAGACTTCAAAAGACTAAATGGTGGATGCCCGAGACGCTTGTGATGGAGCCAAATCATAGACTCTGCAGTAGAAGGATGACGTGTCATTAATAACTGATTTTTGCTAGCATGGTCTGGAAGGAGATGATACAACCCATCCTGTTCATTAGCAACTCCAATTATCTTCTTCGTGGTAAGATCCTGAATAAGACAATGAGAAGGAAAAAATGTGATAGAACAATTCAAATCAGTTGTAAGTTTTTGAGTGGAGATAAGATTAGTAGAAAGCTGAGGAACATAAAGAACATTTTTAAGAAACAAGGAAGGTTGAATTTGAATGTTACCAGAACCAATAACTGATTTATGGGATCCATCAGCTACGGATATAGTATGACTACCAACAGTAGGATGATAAGAACAAAATAACTCAGTACGACAAGCCATATGATCAGTTGCACCAGAATCCAAAATCCATGAGGTTTTAAAATCTGTGCAAGAAGCAAGAAGAGATATAGAACGTGTGCTCTTACCAGATAAGATCGAAGAACTATCATGCTCAGCCATTCTTTAACAAAAAAAGTTAACAACCAGCGATAAAATCAACCAAACAGAATATCAAGTGACCTCTGATCAGAAAAATAATTACAGATCCAGACAGAAGACAAGAAGACGAGAAGAATGGTGGTGGTCCGGTCCAAAAACACGGCCGCACGCGCCTCCACGCGCCGGAGAAAGAAGCTGCGCGTGGGATTCACTCGCCGGGAAAGGGGCGGCGCGTGAGAGCGCGTGGATGGGCTTTGCCGGCTGAGATTTTTCTGGTGTGGTCGTCCGGTGAGCGCACACCTGTCTGTGGGTGGTCGCGGTTGAAAAGTCGCCGGAAAGTGGTCCAAACGGTGAAGACAGATCTGATTGGAGGCGATCGGAGGTGTTTCGGTCGTTTGTGGCGGAGGAACACTGCGTAGAATGATAGATCGGAGGAAAAATAAGGTCAACAATGGTCCCCTTGGTCCAAAAGGTCCCCGGAAAAATTTTCCGGTGGCGGCTAATGGCGGCAAGAGGCAAAGAAATTAGGGTTTTGTTAAAAAAGAAGATAATATGTGCGGAAGCAAAGCCCTCAGATCGAGAGCTCTGATACCAACTTGAAAAAGGGTATTCTAATATATTATAGAATTGTAAATAATCTGTACAAAGGGTTCTCTATTTATAGAGAATATTTGACCTACTTTTAACCTAATGGGCTTGGCCCAATACAACAAAGGGCTTGGCCCAATACAACAATAAATGACTAAATAAAAACTAAATAATAACTAAATCAATATTATTTACAACATATCAAGACTAAAAGAATAAGAATGTTGAGCATAAATAAAAAAAGTCTCTCTGATCTAAGTCTTCTTAATGTTTCTCTTTTCTCAATTATCCTCCTTCTAATGGATATGAATTTGAAATTAAGTTAAAATCTTCATTAATACAAATACAATTAGCTTATTTAACGAGTTGATCCGAATACAAATTTATAGTGTCATATTCATATTATGTCAGCAAATGATGTTAAAAGATATCATTTCGAGGGATGATCAAATACAGGGTTTGGGAACGTTTGTTGATGATGTGTGGAATGAAGATGTACTTGAACCGTTTAATTTCTTGATATTGAGTGAACTATTCAAGAAAAAAGGAGGGTTAAAAAAAAAAAAAAAAAAAAAACTAAGTAAATCAATAAATATTAAAGAAGATATAATATTACTCACTTTTGTAGTCACGGACTACACGATTCCCGAATGTGGAAACAGATAGATCACTTGCGACAAAAGTGTCACGTATACATTGTTTACCTGTAATTACTATAACGAACATTACAGACTACTTTTTCAGTTGTTACACAGTACGGTCAGCGAACGCCCTCATTAACTTCAGAAAAAAAATCATTCACAAATTGAACAAATGACATGACGTGAGAGCTAACCCTAACGACTAAGAAAGTACGCTACAGTGCATGTTATCATGCATGCTGTTAAGATATAGAAGAGAATATAAATTTCAAAGGTAGTCAAACATAGTGATCGATGAATATTTAATTAAAAGACTAAAGGGTCCTCCTCATTAAGCAAAAACAGTGTCAACTATAATCTTAATAGCATTAATTATTCCCTAAACATATGGTATTAGGTAAAAAATTCATAATTAGCTATAATTTTTTTTTTTTTTTTACTCAAAGTTTGAATACCTTTATATATATATAGTCAATATTATATATCATGATGGAATGGAGAATAACGAAACAGAACTGAAATCAGCAACCTTTGTCGGTTCCCTTGGAATATAGCCAACATGTGAAGATTCTCAGAAAGTGAGAGCCAGCTTCCTCGTTTGGTGAGCAGTGTACAGAACCTGGCTTTACCACGTGGTTTTACTGTTACCAAGTTTACCTCTTGAGTCATGAAATTCAATGCAACAGTAAATTTATTACTTGTCTTATATCACTGTCAAAGAGAGAGTGAGAGAGGAACTTACTTCTCTAGAGAATTTGAGAGAAAAGTGAATTAAGAAAAATACATGAGTTGCAAATTTTAGAATTGAAACCCTAATAATAAACATATATTTTTTTTTCTGCATAATTAATTTACCCAGCTTAATGCAGTGTTGAGCTTCCAAAAGGTTGGTTTGCATGTGCTGGTTCAAGTTTAGGATCCAACGAGCTCATAGTACCACCCATGGAGTGTTGTTGTTGTTGTTGTTGTTGGTCTCTTTGTGAAAACCCACCACTCATGTTTCTCACCATTCCTCCAACACCAAGAAAGTCTAACGTTAACTTATCAGATCCTCCAAAGCACACACCAAGATTTTGGGACATTTTTTTAGGCTCCTCTTGATCATCTATGTTGTGAAACTGACCAATTAGGTTGTTTTCGTTCCCTTTAACATTTCCAAATATGGAAGTGTTTCCATTGGCAAGAGAGTTCATCAATCCACGTAGATTATGGTGCTCGTTTTCCATGCTTAATCTCATACCTTGATCACTTCCAAATGTGGCAAGATTATCAGACACAAGTTGACTATGATCAGATTCTGCACCATTGGTTGAGGAGCTACCCATTCCTCTTAGTAAAGAGGAACATTTGGTTGTTGTTGTTGAACCCATTTGAGCAGCTTTCTGAAGCAATGCAGTGGCAGACATGTGTGAGCACATGTTCTCTTGTTGCACTTGTGAATTGCCAAAGAGTGAAGACAAACCTAACCCAACTTGATTATTTACAGGGCTATTAGATATGATGTTGAATTGGTCAGAAATTATGCTGCCACTGCTATTGCTATTTGGAAAGAAGCTGAGGTTAAAAAGATTGGTTGGTGAAGCAGAATTGGAGTTATTGGTGTTCCCTTGAAGATCAGGAAGTTGCATAAGACCATGCATTTGCTTGCTTGAGAATGGTCCTTGTGGAGATTGGAGGTCTTGAAAACCTTGATTTGGGTCAGTCATGAAGAAAGCTGATGAGGATGACATTGACTGGGGTGAGTGTCCAAATGATGAGTGATGCTGCAAAGGAGAGATTAAGTGCTCAAACTTTGGTGCAACACAAGCATTTCCAAGGCTCAACATGTTGTTAGTGGTTGCTTGGTTCTGGTTCTGGTTCTGGTTCTGCATTTGGGGTAGGCCTAAGGTCATGTGGTTTGTGCCATACAGATGAGTCCCCAAAGTGCTTAAGTTGGAAGGGTGTCTTGCACTCTCATGAGCTAGTGCATCACAAAAGGCTCTATGAGTGATAAAACTGTCACGCCTGAAACAAAACGTGTTATATATTGGAATGAATAATTATTTCATAGACAACATCTTATATAAACACAAGTCTAGTCATACAAATTGGCACTAGGGAAATAATCCAAAACTTATAAATTTATATATCCCAGCTAGTATGCGGATTTGAGGGTTGATGAGAGAAAATATATACAATCACCAAGCCTTAATTATTACAATAAATATGCATGGTTGATTGACTACATGATCAACTTACGTAATTAATTGAAAGAAAATGATATAGAATTTATCCTAGTTAACAAAGTCAAGAACCTAGTGATGACTTTGCAAACCTAATAAGATCCTTAATTTTATGATGAATGATGATGCCGGAAATTTGGAAAACACATGACAATTTTATAGCTAACCAAATCTATATAGGGTAAAAAAGAAATTAAAAATATAAACAAATTAAGCATTGGACAATTATTTGGAATATATTTTCGTTGAAATTAATTCGGTCAACTATTTTGAAATCAAGAAAACTACCTCTACCAAAGAAAATAATATTAAGAAAACTAGGAGAGAAGGAAAGGGCCCAGAGGACTATGCCAAAATCTGATACACACCAACAACTCCTTATCGAACTACTACTTTGAGGTCTCTCTTTGATCACTGAAAAAGAAGGAATTATTTTCAAAATTGATGAAAGTCAATAATCATAAGCCCAGTATGGGACCAGCCTCAATAAATGAAAACTATCTCATGAGTTGTCCATTGTCTACCATGAGAATTCTTGTGAGAACCATCGTACGTACCAACAAAGGGTTGCTAAATTCTCGGAAAATCTATGAGAAAACATGAACTATAGATATGCAAAATTAATGCAGGGAATTCGTTACATAAATAAAATCACTTGAAAAAAAAAAGAAAAAGAAAAAAAGAAGGGATCTAGCCAGTACAATATTTAGGAATCTTGTAACTGAAAACAAAACATATTTGAACCACGCAAAAATATCGAACCCAAAAGAAAACAAAACCTAGCAACTTCAACTCAAGGGAGAGAACCAAAAAAAAAAAAGAAAAAAAAAAAGACCACCGAGTGTCACTGTTTACATTGTTGCTTAACTACACGTGAATGAGAATAAGGATAAGCAACGTTGTTCCCGAGGAACAAAGTTGAACTTGTTTGTTTTGTCTTCTTAAAACATTTCAATTTTTGAACCCCATTTGTACAGTATGCTCACGTGCGTGCTGCTGCCACATCCCTCCACTAACACCCACACACTTAAACAAAACCAACACAACAAAAACGGTACCACGGTCTTGCTCCAATTTATCTTTTGTTAGCTAGGAGGATTTTATGCAGCTACCATGCTAACATTCTTTTTTTTTTTTTTTTTCCTTAAAATCTTACCCAAATCTACTAGTCTTAGTATCCATATATGAAACTCTTATATTTTACATAAAGTATATAGTTAGGTGAAGGATGTGTATTTTACAATATTTGTAGCTAAAAAACTGTACGTTTTATATGATAATTAAGCTACAACAAACATTCAATAGATATAAGGTTTTATTGTTACCTTGAGAAGAGAGTGCCACAGTCACATCTATATTCTCTGGTGCCACAAGTTTTAGAATGTGCTTTCCAATCAGATTGAACAGCATATTTTTTGGAGCATTTGTCACACTTCCATTTTTTCTCACCATGTTTGCGAGAGTAGTGTTTCTTAATACCAGTGAGGTCACCAAGAGCCCTTGAAGGGTCATGGTGGACGCATGTGGGTTCGGGACACAGATAAACCTTTCTCTTTGGCTCTTTTGTAGTCTTCTGCTTTAACTTCCAAGGCAAGTTGTGTCCTCTTCTGTGAAGCTGTAGGTTTTGCTCCCTTTGGAACCCTTTGTTGCACACTTCACATATAAACCTGTTTGTTGCCATTAGTGTCTTCGGTGATAGTGCTATCACCTCCGCATCTGGATCTATACGTTTCCATTCAAAAATATAAAAAACATGCCAAACAATAATTAATTATTAGAAAATTCACAAGATTAAAAAAAAATTATTAAAAAGAGAAAGCTCGAAGACAAAGATTTCCATGACATACCCTTTTAATTTCAATCCATTTCACATTTATATGTTTCAAAATTAGGATTCCCCCACATGAGCTAGGGAATTACATTAATGAGAAAAATATATGCATTCAATTACATGCTGAAATTGAATATATGCATAGGGAAGTACTGAATTTTTCAAAAGGAAAAATATTTTCGTAATAGCTAAAAAATATCATTAAAAAAAATGTAAAAAGAAACCTGGCCATTCTAACTTTTCTTCAGTAAAAGAACTTGATAGCCCTAACTAATATTAACAATTTAGGGTTTCCTTGTCATGTTTGTTTCTTGAGAAGAAACCCAGCAACAAATTTCAAAAGGGGCATTTTCACATGTGTTATGTAAATGCTTTAAAGTAATCAAACTATGAAGAATGCATAAAGCTACTTGCATGGTGTTCCAGGCTGATTCCTTCTTTTCTTTTGAGTAACTGTGGTTGGAGCAGCAGTTGAGGAAGCAGCTGTGGAGGATTGGTGTTGTGTAATCTGACTTTGATTTTCTTGTCTGATTCCCAAGAACTGTGTGGATGAGGAAGCAGCAGCCATATTTGTTTTGCAAACTTGAGCAAATCTGGAATTTCTTAAACTTGTCAAAACCTATAAAAAGTGTTTGAATTTCTTCAACTGAAAGAAAAAAAAACTAAATTCCATGCTTTCTTGTCTCTTGGAAACCATAAAATAAAGAAAAAGAAACAAAAGGCATAAGAGAAAGAAAGAAAAAAAGAAGGACCTGAAGCTATATATGTTTGATTTTCCTTGCTTTCTTGTCTCTTTAAAAGATTTAAACCCAGAAAACACCAAGGAGAATTTATCAAAAGGAGACAGCAACAATCCTGAGATGAAGAGAAGAAAACAATATCACTCTGTATACCTACTACTCATCTTCTCTCTTGCTCTTAATGCCTAAAATTTTTTGCTTCACCCTCTTGTTATTCCTCAATCATTTGATGTCTTGTACATAAATAATACTTAGCATACTTGTCCACCCATACGCATACCCATATCTCTTTCTTTCTCTCTCTCTCTCTCTCTCTCTCTATTTTGTCTTTTTCTTTAAAATTTACTTGTATGCATTTTCCTCAACTCCTTGTTGTGCATTTTGTAATGGAAAATAATTTATAGTGTGGTGAAGTATATAGCAAAGTGATATATATGGAGGGTAAATTATGTCACTATTATGCAGTTGTTTCACAGCACAGGCTACTGTGTCCTTAGCAGTTGATGGTTTGGGGCCACCGACCTGTAGGCCTTACAGTCTCCTTATCTCTCCTTCTCTTGTTTTGTATCTTATTGCCAATTACAAGCACATAACTTGGTTCTTTCCTCATTTCCTTGCCCACCTCAAAACATTATTATTATTGTTGGAATAAATATTCTAATTGGTTTTTGCTATGTACATTCCACGAATCACTTAATTAAACCCCAACTTACAAATAAGGTAAGTGTAAATGTAAGCATAATTACCCTTATTTTTTTATTTTTTTTTATTTTGCCAAGAGGCTGTTTAGTGGAATTAAAAAATAAACAATTTTTTTTTTATACAATGGATATTAAAACTTATGGCCTCATGAAAAGTACCCAAGCCCTTCACTACTATACAAATTCTAATGGCTTAAAAAAAAAAAAACAATTTTAGCATCGCTTGAAGCTCACCCTCTTGTTCTTGCAATATACGCTCCATATCATGTTAATTCCCAAAAAGTTTTAGATATCAATTTAGTCTTTCATTCAATTTGTTAACATAAATTTAGTCTCTAAATTAATACTTATATTATATTATTAATATATATATATATATATATATATATATAAGGAAGGTTATAATTACAACTCTTTTTTTTTACAACCTCTTGCAACCATATCTTAACACCGTTGATTTTCGTCAATCAACGATTATTATTTATTGAGAATTAATAATTAATTAATAAGTTTAATTTGAGAAAATCATAACCGTTGATTGACAAAAATCAACGGTATTAAGATATGATTGTAAGAGGTTGTAAAAAAAAAATATTGTAACTATAACCTATATATATATATATATATATATATATATATATATATATATATATATATATATATATATATGACACAGAATCATTTTATATTGATATAGGTTACTTTCTCAAATTTCAATGGTTGATCCTATTAATATCTATGAGTAGATCAAGGATTAAGATTAGGGGTAAAACTTTTTATTCTTACGCCCGGTGTAATTAATCTTGCCCTTTTATATTATTACCAAATTAATCTCAAAAAATTAAAAAAAAAAAACTAATTACTTATGTCCGGTGTATTTTTGAATGGCCAATTTGATTATTATTATTATTATTATTATTATTATTATTATTATTATTATTATTATTACCATCATCATCGAATATCCACTTATTTTGTTAATTAGCATTAACACCCTAATTATCTGTTCAATTTGGCCTAATGCAATGAATTTGGATAGTATAAATAAGCTTTTGGTATTGTTGGTGCATACTCTGCACTGATGTAGAAGTTTTTGTTTTGTATGAGGAAATTATGTATATCTTTAAAAAAATATTTAAATTTAATTGAAGTTTCCTGATTTTCCTAAAATCGAATGGCTCGAAATAATCAGTATGGTTGCAGAATCTGCGCTATAGTTTTAGTCTTATAAATAATGCTTCCGAATCAAGCATTGTATTATATAAATAATTAATGTATTGGGAATATGTGACCAATTGTTTTATTGTAATATTATTAGGCATTGAGAATTGTTATGTATTTAATTACAGTACAGATTTCTCATGATCACTTATTTTAGCCACTAGATAACGGCTTGACCCCACGTTGTGACTTTTTTAAACAGTTTAAATTATGCACAATCTCCTCACATGTTTGTACAATAATCATTCCACTTGAAGATTTCTTCAGATTCTCCTTATTGCCAGTATGTGTGTGTGTGTGTGTGAGTCAGTGACAATCCCAAGTTTTCACAGAAAAAAATTGTCATATAAAATACAAATAGACTTCATTCAAAACTCGTGACCAAATGCTGCAGGTCATTGAATCCAATTTCCAGCGAAACAATGTTGTCCCTAGTAACAATTTTTATTTGATACAAAAAAATACTCATTTGGTGACATCTCATTTGCCACTAAAGGAGGTTTAGTGACACATTTTTACTAAATTGTTAGAATGACGATTAATATTTTTTTATTAAAAATTACGGTGACAAACATTTCTAATAAGATATATTTATGTAACAATAGAGTACATAGTCACTAAAATACTCTTTAATGACAACAGTAGTGGTGGGGATGAAAGATAACTATTAATAACAACAACCATCACAATGATAGCATTAGCACTATGCTATTATTAATGAGATCAATCGTTCTCAACATAACACGCTGAAAAAATATTCTGAACAAATTTTCAAAGATATATTCATATACAGAACTTCAAATTAATAATATTCACAAGATTCTAAACCGCATAATTAACTAACTAATATCCAACACACAACTCAAACAGCACCGTTTACTGCCTTAGGACATGCATGTTCAAAATCGGTTCATAATTAACCGTTTAGTGCAATGCTTAATTAAGACAACTATAATGTGAGGAAGATGGTGTCTCCTTTTGAGAAAGTGAAGCAAAGTGTTCTTGTTTCATTGCACCAAAGGAATAGTCAGGTTATATGAAGACATATACAGCTTTAATTTTTATACCATGGCGATACTATATATATAAGGAGAAAATGTTTATAATATCATAAGTAAACTCTATTTCTCCTTCCTTTCCTATAGTTACGGAATCCATGAAAAAAAAAGAAAAAAAAGAACGCTGATTGATATCGATTTATACTTATCTTAATCAGATGAGGAATATATGTGCGTAAGAAAGAATGAAAATTTGGGTTGGCGAGTCATGTTTGAATAGACATGAATTTATCGTGAAAACGAATATTTTCAACACGAACACAATACAAATAACTATTTGTGTCTAAAACGTCAACAGTACACTATTTGTTTACTATAAGAGATGACCCGACACGATATAAATAACTTGTTATAATTGAAAATTACTTTAATAATCCCAAATTAACAAATAAAAATAGAGCAAATGGGTTAAATATATAATTCTTTAGTTTAAACAGGTATACACAACTACACAAGACATGAATATGAATACCCGTAATATGGGCATGACACAATTTTTTTCAAGTTAATTTTTATCAACACAAACACAATACAAAAAATCCATGTCGTGTTGGCAGGTTGTGTTGAAATGTGTCATCCATGTGTAAGTGAGGATATAAATGTTTACGTTTTGTTTAAATCAATACATTTATTTTATTTTATTTTATTGTAATAATCAATAATTTAAACAACATATATTATCATTATCCTTTTACGGTAAAAAAACATATATATTATCGTTTTGATTTTCAAATAATAATGACAATAAAAATTCATTTAATACAAAGCATTTTACTTTACTAAAGGGTGAGAAAATCAAAATGATGAATTAATCGGTATTGATGTAAAAAAAAAACAAAATTGTTATAAAAAAAACAAAAAACAAAAAACAAAATTATAATACATGAATAACGAGTTTAATTGCACTTCAATTAGCGCTAAAAAAAATTTCAAGTATTATCATAAATTTTTACTGAATCTTATGATATACGTTAATTTAAAAATAAGACAACTTTTCTTATTCATAAACTCTTGCATGTACAAAAAAGAAATTGACATTCAACCAAATCTTTAAGACTTGTGAAATAATAATATTCGAAATGCAACCCTTCACTGAATTACCTAGTGACCTATACGCTTCACCTACCTATGTAAATTTAATGATACGCAATGAAATATCAGCGTTGTGCGGGTACGGATGCAAAATTCTAATAAACTTGCACGTCAATAGGCCAAAATGAGAAAGACGCATGATGTGAGGATGTAATATATGTTTCTAAAACTGGTATTTATATAATAAAATTTGTATATCACTTTAAGTTTTAAGTATTTAAAAATAAAATAAAAAATCAAAATATCTATTTTTTTTATTACTTATAAAGAACATAAAAATTAAAAAATTTTAATGTGTAAATACTATGAATGATATGATTCTGCCAAGAGGAATAACAAAAAGGAAAAAGAAGAAAAGGATAGAGAATACAGACACATGCAGACATGTGAATTGCTTGTTGTAGCCAACGCAAGCGAGTGATTTGACATTCGAAGGACACATGAAGTTGGGTCACCCTGTGGACCCTCTTTTGTGTGGCTTCCTTTTCAATGGATGCTCAAATTTGAGACATGGTGTGGGCGAAAGTACCCAAAGAAGCACACTCCCTTTAAAAAGGAAAAAAGATAGACAATAATAATTTCTATATACGTACGGAAAGGAAAAATTTATTGATATCAATTTTTTTCTTGTAACCAATTTCGAGGTCAGGATAACTACAAGAAAAAAATTTATTAGTGACAAAATTTTATAAAATTTCGTTATAAATTCCTACGTCGCAAGTAAATTTTATCACAAATTTCTGTGTCACAAATTTATTTATGATAAAATTTGATTATTTGTGTCAAAAATTATTATTTGTGACAAAATTTATGACAAATTTTATTATCACGAATAAACTTTTTTGTTGTACGTCATTGGATCGGTTGGTAAAGGCATATTTTTGTGGTGTCTTCAAACAAATCCTAGTTGAATTATTACCAAAAAAAAAGTTTGTCATAAAGTAAACTTTTCTATATGTATATACAGAAATTTAAACTATATTATAATTTTAATATTTTTAAACTTATAAATAATATGCATCTTATATATATATATATATATATATATATATATATAATTTCACACAAGCTTTATCTTTCATATACAATTTAAAGTAAACGCCTTATGTATATTTCTATATTAAATTTTATAA